CTCCAGCTCCCCCTGCCCCCCGCCCACGCCCGGCGCAGGCGGCAGCTCCCGGCCCCGCTCGCTCACAGGCCTGCACCACGTCCAGGAAGCGGCCGCTCTGCGCCCGGTCCCGGAGCTGCAGCTGCCGGACGATGTGACGCTTCCAGGACCTGCCGCCGCCGCTCCCCGCCGCCTCGGCCATGGCTGCGGCACTGGGCGGCCGGGCTGCGTCCGCGCGGGGAGGGAACCCTCCTGACGTCACCAGCGGGGGAAGCCCCCGGCGGACCCAGCCCCAGGGGGAGAGAGGAAGGGAGGGGGCCCTGCTCGGCCCCGCCCCCGCAGCATGCACGGAGCCCGCCCCGCCCCCGCAGCGGAGGGGCTGCAGCCCGGCCTGGCCCCGGCTGGGGGAGGGGAGCTGAGTGCACGGGGCTGGGCAGGGTAGACCCCACACTGACCCAGCTTGACCCTAAAGGGCAGGGGATTGCCGCGGGGACAGGGCGGCTCTCTCAGCCCCAGCTCTGGTGCAGGGACCACCCGCGCTGCCCTCGTTCCCTCGGGGATCCCAGCCTAGCCCGGGCTCTGCACACCCCAGATCACGCCTCCGGACCGGGGCTGACAAGGGCAGACTTTGTGGCCAGGTCGCCTGGAACAGAAGCCCCGTTCTTCTCTGCACTGCACGCCTCCGGGCCATGGCGCAGCTCCAGCAACCACAGCACCATGGCTTTCTATAGGGCCCTTCACAGGCCGGTCCCAGCCTGGGCTGTGAGCGCGAACCACCAGAGAATTAGTTTCTCTCCGTCGATCTGGATCGCGCTAGTTTGAAAGCTCCATGTAGACAGGAGCGGTCTGAGAACGGTGGACATGAACCAAAGCCACCGATCTGAACAGCCAGCCTGGAAGGGTTCAGAGCTAGACCCCGCAGCTCCCAGTTCTGCAGTTGGGGCCCATCTTCAGTGAATGTCCTTCTAGCGAGCCAGTTCTCCCCAGTGGCTCTCAGATGGTGCGCCCGCAGTGACTCGAGCGTGGGTCCCAACCTCAGGGCAGCTGTTAAGAACCAGGGCACAAACCCCAAACTGGCTGTGAGTTCTGTACTTAGATTTCTCCAGCCAAGTATCAAGTATAAACTCCTCAGGCACTAAATGGTTCCCAATCCTGCTGGAAAGGCGTAACGAGTGGGGTTCCGCAGGGGTCTGTTTTGGGACCGGCTCTGTTCAATATCTTCATTAACGACTTAGATATTGGCATAGAAAGTACACTTATTAAGTTTGTGGATGATACCAAACTGGGAGGGATTGCAACTGCTTTGGAGGACAGGGTCATAATTCAAAATGATCTGGACAAATTGGAGAAATGGTCTGAGTTAAACAGGATGAAGTTTAACAAAGACAAATGCAAAGTGCTCCACTTAGGGAAAAAAATCAGTGTCACACATACAGAATGGGAAGAGTCTGTATAGGAAGGAGTACGGCAGAAAGGGATCTAGGGGTTATAGTGGACCACAAGCTAAATATGAATCAACAGTGTGATGCGGTTGCAAAAAAAGCAAACCTGATTCTGGGATGTATTAACAGGTGTGTTGTGAGCAAGACACGAGAAGTCATTCTTCCGCTCTACTCTGCTCTGGTTAGGCCTCAGCTGGAGTATTGTGTCCAGTTCTGGGCACCGCATTTTAAAAAAGATGTGGAGAAATTGGAAAGGGTCCAGAGAAGAGCAACAAGAATGATTAAAGGTCTTGAGAACATGACCTATGAAGGTCGGCTGAAAGAATTGGCTTTGTTTAGCTAGGTAAAGACTGGCCTGTGGTAAAGAGAGAATCCTTGCTCTTTCCTTATTTAAGAGTACTGGA